AACTTGCTAAATTTTAATTTAGAGTTTTTTCTTCAAATTTGGCTTTCGCAGCATAAATTTTACGCTAGAACGTTCATGATAAGAATTAAAGTGAAAACGAGAAAGATTCTCATCAACACTTAATATTTATAGTAGATTTCGCTGCGCCATGCCAAGCAATAATCAAGTCGTTGCTTTGGCACTGTGCGCATGAGTTACAATTTGGCAATCTCGTTTGTTAAATAAATATGCTACATTATATGAGTACATATATAATTTTGAGTACATTCTTGTAAGCATGCTGCTAGCAAATTACTCGTAAATTATGCTAAGAGATTAATTTACTCCTCTACATACATGCTCTATATTATACCACTAATAACCTTTGTCAATAGCTGTCAAGGCACTCACATCCTGCTGGTTTTTCATATGAATAACTGTGCATGTTTTCATTTGAATGTCTAACAGAAAATTGTAATGAAATGAACATTTTAATAATTTAAATAAATAAAAATTAAAAAAATTAAATACCAAAAATAAAAATTAGCTAACAGGATTTTAAGCTGGATAAAAAAATTAAAAGAAAAGTTCCAATTAGAAAATTTAATTGAAAATAATAGTAAGGACTATTTTCATTTCTTTCACCATTTCCAAGTGGGATCTCACTTAGATACTTATCAAAAAGCAAATTTAAGTTAGGTTTATATGAGAATGACGTCTCGTGAAGCGCACGTGTGTTACACTACTTCTCAGTGTTTTAAAATTTAAGTAAAAAAAAATACAAAATATAATGAAAAAGAAGGAAAAAAACCCTCCAGTGCTGAAAGATGATGATAAAAAACAGGAAAATACTTAAATAAATATAAACAGGTTTTCACCTCCAGCTATCTCATGCCAATATTACATCACTAGCATGATGTGAGTGAGGTATTCTTCTGTACCCCACATTTATGGTTGTTTAATGTATAAAAGGTAAATAAGAATAATGATGTGGCGTGTCTTTTTGCACGTCTGTCAAAAAACCACTTACACACGGGCAAGTCTATACTGATAAAACCGACAGTACAACAATATATATTAACACTGTTTTGACAGTTAAAGCAGCATACAAATATACACTCAAACACACTCGCAAGCAAGCATGTTCAGCCCTGATGTAATATCCTGCTCATGCCTTCTGCCAACAACATCTTTACTTTATCTTTTTTTATTTTATTCTTGATGTAATTTTTCATATCAACCCACAGATGTTGCTCCGTTGAAAGCTAGTGCAGCGTAATGTTATTAGCATGCGTGTATATAGGTGTGTGTGTGTGTGTGGAGTGGGTGGAGGTTAGTGCGTGGACCACATGCCGCATGCCACCACATATCATATGTGTACACTTTTTGGCTGTCAGCTCTCGCGTATATATTTGTTGTTGTTCTTGTTTATGTATTTCCGTTATTAAATTTAATTTTACTTATCTTTTTTCGTTTATGACTTGCTGCGTTCTAACAGCAGCGCTTGCTCAAATATTGTTTGCTGTACCTCGACAGCTGCTTGATTGCGAGTATTTCTCATAACCTTTCTCGCCCAGACTGCAGAAGGTGGGCACAGACTCCTTATGTGAAATACGTGTTTATGAAGCGTTAAATGTGCGCGGAAAAGTCAGGAGGGTTCACATATGTGGTAACTCATAACGTATAAAGGATATATATTTATCTATACAAATAAAGGCATATACAATACGTACATACATATATGTATGTATAATATTAGTGAAAAATAAAAAAAAATTTTTTTTTTAATATTTAATAACCAAAGTGTGTTAAAAATTAAGTACAGCTCACAAATTTAATATATTTATATATGTATATGTATGAACTTCGAAAATTCATGGTTTTCATAAGTCAGTTTTATATTGGATGAGTGCATAAGTTCGTGCCCGATTGTTTGAGAGTGGCGCTCGTGAAAGAAATATATACATATTATATATCGTTGGAAAGGTGACAGTCCGAACTGTAAATCAAGCATAAAATAACTTCATTTTGATTTGAGTTACTTAGTGAAAAGACGCATGGAAGATGGACAACGAAAAAGATCATATGCGTCATATTATGTTATACGAATTCCGCAAAGGAAAAACAGTAGGCGCTGCAACTAAAGATATTCGCGAAGTTTATTTGGACCGTGCTCCAGCACTCCGCACAGTAAAGAAATGGTTCGCGAAATTTCGTTCTGGAGATTTTAACCTCGAAGATCAACCTCGCAGTGGACGGCCTTCTGAGCTTGATTACGATGTTCTAAGGACTTTAGTTGCGAATAACTCACGTATTTCGACGGAGGAGGTTGCCAGTGAATTGAACGTCAACAAATCAACTGAGTTTCGTCGTTTAAAAAAGGTTTGGTACACTTTGAAGCTCGATACATGGGTGCCACAAATATTGTCAGCAATTGGTCGAATCGAAAGCAATTGATGAAAAACGTCCGATTTTGGCCAATCGTAAAGGAGTTCTTTTCCATCATGACAACGCCAGGCCACATGTTGCAAAACCGACCCTGGCCAAACTGAAGGAGATTAATTGGGAAATCATGCCGCATCCCCCATATTCACCCGACATTGCACTTTCTGATTATCATTTGTTTCGATCGTTGCAGAACAATTCGAATGGAAAAACATTTAAAAATGTGGAAGACGTCAAAAACCACCTTGACACCTTTTTCAACGAAAACCGCGCGATTTCTATGAATCAGGCATCCGTAAATTGGTTGAACGTTGGGAGTAGATTGCCAAATATGATGGCGAATACATAATTGATTAATAAAAGTGCTTTCTTCAAAAAATTTTAATTTTAGTTTGCATTTGAAATCGGGCACGAACTTATGCACTCATCCAATACTTTCATAGATCCTCGAGTTAAATTAAAATAGTAAAAAGTAATCCATTATATTTGCATTAGAAATTCACCTTTTTGCTAGATACCTTTTGCTATTCTGGCTCTCTGATACAACCCTTGCCTCTATTGGCAAAAAATATGTTGCATCGATTCACAGGCTTTCCGTGAGGAAAATTTTTTAGCAGATAAATCATTCGCTATTGTCAAAAACAGATGAAAGTTAGTTTATCCAGGGGATGTACGATAACCTGCCAAGCAAGATCTCATAGCTTCTGGCGTGTCTCTAACGATGTGTTCGGTCTGAGATTGTCCTGTTGAAACATAACTCTTCTCCTATTGACCAAAGCTGGGTGCTTCTAGGCGATTGCTTCCTCCGGATTATTCCTTGCCAATTCCATCAAAGATGCTACAAAGTCTTCCTGGTCGTCACTTTTGGCTTGGAGACTGTTCGTGCCGGCTCATTGGCCTTCGGCCATGACCGGTTCGTAGAGTTTGTTACTCTTTATTAGCGATTCGTATCATGATTCGATCAACACTTTTCCTGTTATCGTTTTTATTGCAGAAGATCATCTTTCTATTGCCAAAATAATGAATTACTTTTTACTGGATCCAATATTTTAATAAAGAAAACTAATGTCAGGAAAACATTTTTTGTATTGTGGTAAAAAAAAGAAGGAAATGTTGAAATTATACTGTTATATTTTTTTATTTTCATTAAGAGTAAACTACAAAACTTTTCTCTATTTAAACATAATTTTATCGAAATTCCCTTAATTTTAACGAGTTTAACAAAATATGCGTCCGCTCATTAGTTGTAAAAGGATTAAAAGTATTTATTGCATATAAATTTTGCCCATAAAGAATAACAGTATATGCGATACACGGGGCGTATACGCAACTTTGCAACCATTCTGAGCGAACTGAAATATCTTATTTCATGCCTGAATGAATAGCCTTACGTGATATTGGTAAAAACAAATTATCCACTAACCAAAACAAATTCGCCCAACACACCATACATTCATATACATATATGCACGTAAACAGCTAGTTATTTATATTGTCACATTTTTATTTTTGTTGTAATTTTAATTCATTTAAAATTAAAGCGGGAACTGCTGTCGCATCGCTGCTTTTACCAAATTAAAATTTGATGACAACCAGCGCCGCTTTAAAATTCCGACAAGGGTAATATTATAATTCACACAGCACAGACGCATACATACTCGTACGTGGCTAAAGTGTGTGAGTATGGAACGTTGTTTGTGGCCCACTTACAAGCCGCCATTTATACGACGCTTAATAAATTTTACATTTAGTTTCCTATATATATATATGTATATATTTGTATATATTTGAGTATATGAATTAATATACATTCATATGCATTAATTTATGAATTTAGTATGTACATATGCGCATACACATATGTTTGCAATTGCTATGCGGCTGTCATTAACAATTCATCTGTCATCGGAGAGCTATGGCAACATCGCCACTGTCACAGACTGCTTCCGCTCGTTTTACCCGTCACCTGTGCACATAAATAATTAATGGTGTGAAATAGTATACGTTAAATTTGACTTATCACTACGCTAGTCTGACTCCCTCTGCCTGTGCAACGTGGTCAATAAATAATAGTTGAAAATATAAACATTTTTTGCACTTTTTAGAAACACATTTCAAAGTATTTAAATAGTTATAAATACATATATACGAAAAATTGTAATTACACTTTTCATTCTAAATTGCTATACGAAAAAGCATAAATATTCCGCAGCTTATTATGCATATACATATCTCTAATCATATAAGCATCTCATTAGAATTCAAAATATTTTTGTGGTTTTCTAGGCGCGTCGAGAGATTTTAATGATTCAATGAATAAATGGATAATTTCTATTTAGTTTAATTTTATTTTAATTTAAGTTATCTAATTTTTTTTTAAATTTATTTTCTTTTTTTAATTTATTTAACTGTTTTTTTATTTTACTTTACTTTATTTTATTTTATTTTATTTTATTTTATTTTATTTTATTTTATTTTATTTTATTTTATTTTATTTTGTTTTGTTTTTTCATTTATTTGGTTTTGTCTTACTTGTTAGCTTAATTTTGTGAAATATTTTAATATTTTTTGATAAAATGTGTGGAGCTCGGTGTCTTATTCTCTTCTCTCTTAACACCCTATGTATGTAAATTATTTTTTAGCTTCATAAACATTGGGTTTGCATATAACTAAACTCCATTACGAAGTTACATCAAATTCAAATTTCGGTAATTTTCAAAATTTTGTTTAAACAGATTTTGCTCAAATCATACAGAATTTAACATATGTAGCTGTATATATAGCCAAATGATTATGCAGCTCCAACACGACATTGTTTATTTCACTTGATACTCCTGTGAAGTTTTTTCTCTCCATTGATCCCTCTACTAATAAACGTATTTCGCAATATTGACTTAATATCTTTGTTACCTTTCAATTCTTGCCATTCCGTTCTTATTTCTCTTTCATCTTTAATGAAAATATTGAAAAAGTTTTTCATGCATATATTATTATGTATGTGTACACATATGAATGCACGTAAGTAAGCATTGGGTGGATGTTATCATTTTACTCCCGTTATGCAAATGAACTTAAAAACTGATAGTTATGTAACAGACTTGACAGACTGTCGTTTAAAATGAGTGATGGATGGGTTAAATGATATTTCATGCAATCAAGTATGTTATACACACAGCAATGTATTATATGGATACTTCTATATATCTATGTATACTTTTGCTGCTGAATATTTGCCAACTTATATTTTTGTATTCATGTGCAATGGGAACAGTTTGCAAAGCGTGCAGAAAAGTTGGAGTTTTTTTACTACTTTTGTACACAGAATAATAAGCTTAATACAAATATCGTTGTGTGTGTGTGTGCGTGTGTAAGGATGTACAGCTTTTGTAGTCGTACGTGTTACCTTTTACTATTTTGACAAAAGGGTTAGCAGGTCATTTCGTGGAGAGCAAAGTTTGAAAGTTGAAATGGCAGTACGCTATACGAATACATGCACTCGAAAATATATTCGAAGCATATCGAAAGTTAATTTTTTAAGTTAAACACTTTTGATTGATTAAAAATTGATTTTATCGTAATTTCTTTTTCTATGTATTTGCCACAGAGAATTGATTTTGACATTATTTTGAGTTGAAACCTTGAAAAATTTTCGATTCTGAAAATCGGCAGCATTGCTTTTATGTAAAAAATTGTGTTTTATTAATAAATGGTAAAATATTTTTTAATGAGACATTTTCATTGGATCATCAGCAAAAACTTAATTGAGAAAGAAGCGGAAAATGTTTGAGATGCAAAGCAGAAAAGAGGCAACAGTGTATGAAGCGAAAAGTATTCGCAATAATGACAGCAGTCTTAACGACCAGCTCCTAGAATTTTCCTTGTAAAAACGCGGTATATAGAGCAGCCACAACCGTAAGCGACTGTTTTAGCAAATAATATAAACAATAGTGTCAATATGCTGCCGCTGCAAATATTAATAATAATATTCCTTGCAAAAATTTGGCGCTGATATTATTTTTAATGAAGCTAATAATTAGTTAACATGAAAATCGCTTCGAAAGTAGAAAAAGAAAGATATTTTCTCCCAAAGAAAATTGTAGCTTCAACGACAAAATTTCAGTTCCTATATTTGAAAGTCCTAACCTAAGCCATCAGCTGTTCCTGAGTTTGAGTTCAAGCTCTACCTTATTAATCTAAGATATATTTTCTTACAGTGTTTTTATAAAAAAGGCAACACGTCTGCCAGCATTGGCATTCGTTACATAACATTTCAACTGACAGATGAGAGACGTGATATGTCAGTTTATTCATAACTTCGTGTGCGATACAACATTTAGTTCGTTCAGTTAGCGTGAAGAAGAAGAATGCATTCAAAATGTGTATTTACATATACATATATGTACGTAGCACTGCATACAAGGCAGACTGATTAAATGACTTATAAATATGTATAAAGATAAGAACTTTAGATAAAGTCAATATTTTATTAAAAACTAAAACTAATTGCAAGTAAAAATAAACTTCAACTCAAGGAGAACCTCACAATTTCATAAACACTAAAAAGAGACTTACCTTGTTTTTGTAATTTTGGCTCTAACAGGAAAGGATTCTGAAATAAATAGAGTTAAAAATGATTTATTTACTAAAATTTCTAGGAAGAATACAAATTTGTGTGCTTAATTTTGGAAATCTAAATTTGTTAAGTGAAATAGATCAAATACGATCAAATGAGGAATAAAATGGTAAATGGTAAAATTGGTTGAGATTATACGAAATGAGTTGAAAACGTTGGGATGAGGTTAGATGACAAGAATTTATGTGAGGTGAGAAGAGATGAAATGAGACTAGATTCGATGGAATTAAATGAGATTAGAAGGAACGAAAATAAATAAGATGGAACAAAAGGAAATTAAGTGATCTTAAAGACTAGTTGCTGTAGCTCCTAAGCCAAAACTTACAAGATTCATGTACTAAGCTATTAATTAAAAAAAATATTAGGTCAAGTAAGAAGTTAGTTCGGTTTTCTTTATTAATTTTTCAAAATATGACAACTTTGTGTAAGTTTGTCAGATTTAAGTCAAATATGCGCCGTTTTATTCGCAAACTTGTTGCCAACGAGATGTTAACTACATTATACCGCTCTCAAAGAAGGCCTCTCATGAGGTCAACTTCTCACCATTAAGCGCGTTCGCCATAGACAGAAATATGGTCCGGACTATAAGATGGGTGCATTAGGGCTTCCCATCCAAGCTCCTAGAGCTTCTGGCGCGTTACCAAAGACGTGTGTGGCCTGGCGCTGTCCTGATGGAATACAATTCGGCCTCTGTTGATCAAAATTGACCACTTCTGTATGAGTTCTGCCTCCAAGCGGTCCATTTGTTGGCAGTTGAGGGCCAAATTGAGCGTTTGGCAATAGAAGAGCAGTTCGTAGTAGATGATTCCTTGCCAATTAAACTAAACACACAGCAAAACTTTTCTGGCCGTCAATTCGGTCTTGGCCACCGTCTGGTCCACTTCATCATCATCGGTGCGATGAGATGAGAAGGTATTAGAGTTTGTGATATGAGGGGATAATGAATATTGTTTCCATTGCAAACACTGGCATCGAATTTCCATCTGCCGATCGCCGCTGAAACGTAACAAAAGCGACCCAAAATGGGTCACTCACAGCAACGCAAAACGAAAACGGTCATGGTCGCAGCGCAAGAAGCTAGCACAAATGGTCTGCAAGTCAGGATTGACGGCCAGTAAGGTTTTGTTGTATCTCTCCAATATGTTTGTGGAGAGTGGCAAGGAATAATTCACTATGAGCTATGCCCCGGCGACCTGAAATGTCAGCAATCGCCTCTGCTTCGTTCAAGAGGAAGGAAATTTTAATTCTGCAGGACAACACCAGACAACACACATAGATGCTAACTCCCCAGGAGCACTAAGAGCTTGTTTTAGTCCGACCGTCGCTTACTTACAGCCAGTTTTTGTCCTTGATTACCATCAGTTCTTGTCTAGGGCGAATGATTTGGCTGGAGAAGAATTGGTCCAAGGGAAGCCTGTGGTAATTTCTTACCAATAGCGACAGCGGTTTCTACATGAAAGGCATAATGGCGTTACTTTTAAAATAGCAAAAGGTTAGAAAGTTATCGAGCAAAACAGTTATATTTACTGCCTCTTTTTTCAACATATTTACCAGAAGTTTTCACATCCTACAATACTGATTCAACTGGTCTTATGTCTTCATTTTATATTAAACCAAATTCGGTGTTAGGCAATTTATAGTAAACACAACATCGACGTACATATATAAAACATCAATCATTTTGGGCTTATGACACATATGAGGGAGCCTTTAAGTACGTATGCGTATATATATATAGATGCATATGAATGCAACTTATAAATTTATAACTGCTAACAAACATTTAATAGCTATGTGACGAGCAACACAATAAATACATATACATATATAGAATATTTAAAGACACACTGTATATATAAATATGTATATGTATACATATATAAATATGTTTATGTTATTTTCTCTATAATGCTTAGTATCGCCAAATATTATGCTACATGACGCCATAAGCGTATTATGTCATTTGCGCACACTTACATATATATAGAAATACACCAATACAAGCATAGTTATTTTCATGAAAATATTTATTTGATTTTGTTTTCATGTCGTGTTTTATCTGCGATTTCCTTCCACTTATTTTATTTTTTGCAGAGCATTTTCCACAGGAAGCTATCATTTACGGTCACACACAAGAGTTCAAAAGCTATTCATGTCAAAGCCAAGCCATATCACTATGAAAGCATACAAAGACACACAGACAGATGAAACGAACTTAGCTGGCAGTGTTGTGAAGCGCCGAGAATGGAATCGCATCAAAGTAGCGCATCAACCGAGTTATATTTACATACCATGTTTGTGTATGCATACATATAAACTGTAGTTTTTTTTCTTTGGTATTGTAAAATTTACAATCACATGGAAATAAAACATACACATTTACATATATACAAACAATTTGCATGCAGCTACAATAGGCATGTATACATATTTCCTATTTACGTTTTTATATATGAGTTAACAGAGTGAAAAAAACACCAAAATTGCTGGTGTTTCGAATCAGTTTATGTCAAACCAAAAATTGTTCCCTACAAATTCTGGTACACCACATCATTAGTCTCCACTCGGAATGCCTCATCTTTACGCTCTTTTGTTTTTCTTCGCTTTGTAGCTCTTCATATCATTGTGGTTCGTCTTGTTCTTGCTGTCATTATCAAAGTTCTTACATGTGTATATATGTATACATACGCTTTACATTTACATATATATTTCCAAATGTCTTGTATGCCATTAGCGTGGTTGTAAAAAGTCATCTGCGATCAAGATTTTGGCATCAAAATTTTTACTCATGTTTGTGATATGTTTCCATATAAATTACACTAACAACAAGAAGTGTTTTAGTTTTATACACGTATATAAACATATTTGTATGTACATATATAGCCTAATATAAATATGTTGCCTGTCGGCTATATTTTTGTGGTTAGCTTGAGTATTAGTTCCTTCTGGTGATTGATTGATTTGATAATTAAATTTTATAAAGATGAGTATAAAATAAATTTATGTATGTATTGAATTCAGTCGCGGTAGCCGAGTGGTTAGCATTGCGTACTGCTATTCGAAAGGTTTGTGTTTAAATCCTGGTGTCGCACTAACATCCGAAAGCTGTGGAAAATTTATAAAAAATAAAGTTAAATTTTCTAATTGCTATCGCCCCTCGGCAGTGAATGTCAACCCCACGTAGTGTGTTTTTGACATGAAATAACGCTCCTCTTAAAAAACCATCAGCCGTTCGGAGGCGTATAAACTGTACGTGCCTTGATTTGTTGGAAAAACATCAACACGCAAAACCACAAATTGGAAGTGGAGCTCGGCCAAAAATCGTTTCAGCGGTTGCAATTATATATATCTTTATTGATGACTCTATATAAAGCTTGTACATATGTACGTATGTCGTGGGATTTTTAATTTTATTAAATTAGTAGCATTCATTTTTGATTTAAAAAAAAATTTGGTTTTTAGATTTTTTGTTTTTGTGAAAATTTTATATAAAAAATAAAAAACCAAAGTCTTATAGAAACAAATATTATTCTGTGTAAATAAGTAAATACAAAAAAAAAATGTATCCAAATGGTTTAAAATAAAGTGAAGGCAAATATGAATGAAGACATATTAAACATATGTTAATGCCTGTTAATTTTTATACGAATTTCTTAAGGATTAAATAGAAAATTTTAAGTTTTTTATTTATATAAATAAAAGTTGTTAAATGTCTTACAGATACTTAGAAGCTGACTATGATTTAAAACAGGCGACATGATACTAACAAGAATTAAGAATTTTGTGGTTTTCAATGCTTTGAGAGATTGTTAAAAAATTATTCTAAAGAGTTCTTGCTTTCGAATTTTATTCCTGCATTGGTAAGCTTAGAAAGTTTATTGGTTTCCAAAATTTCATGATTTTATTGCGGCTCAAGTTTTTAATATTTAATCTCATTTAAAAATAATAAAAAAAAGAATATTATAAGTAACGGTAAAATACATAAAAGAGAGGAAAAAAATTGTATTTACAAATTTTTTCTTCTTGCAACATATGACAAATAAATATAAATGTGTACATGTGCTTGCGTGTAGGATATTACTCATATTATAGCATGTGTTTTGTTATTGTGCAAATGCGCTGATAGCCAAACCGTGCATTCTAGCAGACATTTTCTCGACTATGGAGTACCCATATTCTGAATTTCTTTATAGTGAAAAAATTACAACAACAGATTTGAACGGAAGAAGTCCTCATCACACATCTTTTTCTATACACCTATGTTCGAACTGGATTCGAACTTGGGATGCCCACAGCACGAGCCAATAGTTATCCCATTAAATTACATGTTTGCCGCTTTTACTTATTGTTGTTTTTTCTCACTTTTCCTTTTACCTACATATTCACGATGAAGTGCTCAGATATTCTGTAGCTGTAAACTTGGGGCGATGTAGTTGTTTTTGCGAAGAATTAACGAACAAATATTATATTATTATTTGAAAATTTCATTCGAAATTTTTTCACTATTTACAAAAAAATATAGATGGACTGAGACAATCATAATTTTTAATTACAGGTTCAAGGTAAGAAATATATAGATATGTTAGATAAATATTTCCGATTGCAAAACAAAAAACAATAACTCAAAATCAGCTAAAACAAAATCCCTTGCCATTTATAAATAAATTTATGTGTAGGAATGAAAATATACGTTGTACCTACGCATATATCTGTGAGAATTTGCGTTTCAGGAGATAATTTTCTGTACTCAAAGAGCAAATACAATCAACAGAAGTAGCTTTTTGAAATCACTATAGAATCGCAAAATAATCCCTAGAAATATAACCCTGCATATACGGAACTCTCGAATGCTTCGGGAGGAGGATTTTGCGTGTTTTCATTGTGTTTTCATTGAAAAATCAAAAATATGGCATCCACGATAGTCGAGTAGTTAGTACAGTGGGTTCCTAGTCCTGAGCCGATCCACGCCCAAAACG